GAAAATCCACTGCTCAAAACAGAAAAAAAATTGTTCAGGTTAATTAATACTCCTGCAAATTTTACCCTGTAGTCAGGGAAATCCACCCACCTTTATGCTATTTGAAATGCTGGTCATGCACACATTAATGCTGGCTGAGATCATTGATTTTTTTAACCAAGCCAATAATTTTACTTCCTCAGTGATACAAATAAATAGTAAGACTGCTGTTAGAGAAACAGTTTCTGTAACAACTAAAGTTGCTTAAAGATTTGCTAATTTTTTTCTGTGAGATGTTAGCAGATGTTAAGAATGGTGTATCATCTCCCTGTTAGCCATGTTTTCCTTGCACATTCAAAATCATAATAAGAGAATCGACCCTTAGAAAACTGATTTTCCCAGATACCTTTTGCATTCTTTCTTTGCACAAATTCCTTGGAAATCCAAAGTGTTCCTTTTGACTTCCAAGACTTTACAAAAAAAAAGAGGCCTAGGAATCTTCATATATTGCTTTTCACAGTGTTGCTCAGCATTTCAGAAGCGGTTTTGTTATTGGATGTCTCCTTAATAGCTGCCAAGATCTGCAGTGTGGACGGTTAAGGTTCATAGGCAGTCCTTCCCTGAAAGACTCTGTGTAACCTGTAAATAGTTAGCAGGAGGCTGATGACAATTTAAGAGGATGCTATAAAAAAGGGTGAGAAATTTCGATAGAGGCCACTTGCTGTTTAGCCTTGTACATGTCCTGCCATATAGGGCAAAGGAAATAATTTTCCTCTTTCTAAATGATATGAAGCCCAGTTTTTTCCCCTTAAAGTATGACAAGCTAGTATTTCCTCATTTGAGCATCCAGAACCTTCTGAATTACAAAGCCTGTTGGTACCCTGGAAAATCCATGCCTAAATCTCCATGTCCAGGGTGTGAGGGTTAGCGTAACTGCGACAGGATTATTGCGCAGGGCTCTGCTGTTGTTCCTTACAGCACAGTAAACTAAATGAGAAGTTGCTGCTCTGCTGGCCAGCATGACCACTCATACTTGCCTCTGTCTGCCTAGAGAGGGCTTGCTGAAAACTGATACTGCAGAACATGAGGTAAGTGTACTTCATAAAGTAGGAGCTATCAGATGGCACACAATAACAAATAGCCTAACTTACCTTAATCTCTTGTACCGTCTCCAGAAGAGAGTTGAGAAGCAGTTTGATTGCAGCACATAAATACCATCATAGACAGAATTATCTGGTACACCAGTAAAGCAGAAAACAGTTGCTGGTGGTTACAGGTACATCCTGTTTGCAAGTGAGACACAGACTTTGAGCAGCGAGGCTAAGTAACTACTGGAAGAAGCTACCATAGGAGATGATAGATTATTTGTCTCTTCATATCTTTGAGTGAAAACCTAAGAAGCTTCCCAGAAGTTGTGGATTACCAAGCACAAACTATCCCAATGCTGGATTAACAAAGGGAAACTTTATGGCTTGTGATACTAAAAAGGTCAGATTAGATGGTTTAAAATTCTGTCTTGAGTTTAAAATCTGCGGCAAGGGAGTAACTGGTGGGACTGACAAAAACAGTATTGTCTACACGTGATAAGGTCCCCCCTCCACACAGCGCTTAGCCTGAACCAGGAGGTGGCAGTTACGTAACAGATGAGAGGGAGGAGGCTGTTTGGGGATGTCATGACTGCACTTGAGATGAGAGAAGTTGCCTTCAGTCATGGGACCCACCGTGTGGTCTCCCATGTGGGTGTACCACCCAGTCACCAAAGGTCCTTTGGGGCGGGGGAGAGATTGTTTCTTCCTAAACAGAGTGGTTTTAGGGCAAAACCCACATCACTTCTTACAGTTGGCAAGTTCCCCTTCCCAGCTTCCTGGGAATATCAAGCTTTGTTCCCATGCTGAGAATAAGTAAGGAACTGCAGTGGTATGGTGGGAGAATATGTCACTCTCTCTGCAGTCATAGAGGCAGTCAGGTCAATACTTTAAAAAGCACATGCTAGCCTGCTTTACTTCAGGCATTTGCTGTTAGCCGTATTGCCACATGAGGTAAGAAAACTATGGCTGTGCTGTCCCCAGGATCTCAGCGGGTGCCTTGCATGGATCTGTGCTGTGTGCAGTCAGGGACCTCTGCACAGCACAACTCTGTGTAGAGTGGCCATGCCCCTTTCAGAGCCAGCTGTTCTTTGGTGAAAGGGGAATCATAAGGCTTCCCTCTCTTGCAGAAATATCCTGAGGTGATGCTGCATTGCAAACACCATTGAAAAAGTCTCCTCGGCTTCCATGTCCGTAATTGAACAAAGACCCAAGCACCTAATTTTCCTGTGAAATTATTGCAGATACTAAAATTAGCAGGAAATTATGAGGCTGATTTGGAGTGAGGCATCTAAATACTCTGTTGAATCTGAGCTTTTTGCATCTAAATCAGTTTTAAAATCAGACACAAATCTAAAATCATTGTGACACTTTTCCAAAAGGCAGACACAGGGAACATGAAGAAAGTGTGAGAGCCAACCCTTTTCCTTTTTTGAGGCCGGAGGGTTTATAAAGCATGAGTTTCTCGTGACAGATGGATAGAGGAGCACAATACCTGTCTCCTTGCTGATAGATGTGCTTGAAATGAAAAATAATAATAATAAAAAAAATCTGGGCCTCGCCAGGAGAGCTGACTGCCCACACTGCGAGTGCCATGAAAAGACCTTTTCATGGCTGGAACCACGATTCTTAAATGGAGCATGTTGTATCTAGTATCAATTTCTAGTTTAAAGCATGGGTGTCCCCTACCTCAAGTTTCAGTGACAAAGGAGGGAAGTCTGAATGGGAGGTATGTAAGGCGATGCTGCCTTTGCGCTGCTTACAGTCCCAGAGAGGTTCATATCTCCCTTACAGTGCAGCAATTTAGAGGTTGCTGATAGCTACATTACTCATTCCCTGTGCTTCTCCCACTGTTCGTCTTGGCCCTTTCAGATTTTATTAGCAAAACCCTAATGCAGCCTCACGTCAGACAAGTGCTGAAAGTGGGTAGATATGGATCAATCTGAAAATATACCCAGTTTTTGGAAAACTACATACTTGCCCTGACTATTACTGGATAATTAGGGAAAGTTTACAATTATTTCCTGCTTTTCCGTGATACTCGTTACTAGCAGTCATTGTGCGCTCATCTCCTGCAAAGCAACTTGGTGGAGAGGAATGTGTTTCTAAAGCACAGAAATGTGGCTGTGAAATCACATACAGAAGCGGTCGAGTCCATGTGATTGTACAAGCAGCTTTTTACTCATCTTTCAGTCATCTGAAGTTGGAATGGACACTTGATGGTGTCCCTTTAGCTGAGGTTTCCTTTGCAGTCAAATCTGCTGTATTGTGACATGACGGTTGCAATATTGATTGCAAAAGGACATTTACTTCAGTTTGAAAAGCTCATCAGTGAATACCCCTCTGAAAATTTCTCATATCAGTAGTCCAAAGATGTATACCTCTATGTAGGTACACAGACGTATATATTCATATCCCTTTGTGCCCCTTGAATAGATGAATTATGAATACAATTTATTCTAAGTTAGAGATTCCACATTTTTGAGTGTATGAACCTTGAGGAGTGCACGTTCTTGTTTGGTGTTACTGTGATGCAATTCTGTTACCATACTGTTATGTTAGTAATAGGGTGTCTAGCCTCGTTGTCCTGATAAAAGATGTACATATTATCCTATGTTGTTGAAATATTTTTATCCATTCTTAATTACCCTTTGACTTGCAGGTACGGCATGAATTGTCTAATCCAGTTCGAAGATTTTGCCAATGTTAATGCTTTTCGTCTCCTCAATAAATACCGCAACAAGTACTGTACATTTAATGATGATATCCAGGGTAAGTACATTTAGGAAAATGTGAACTTAACCTTCACCTTCTCTTGAGGAAAGGTGATTAAGATCGCAGGACTGTTTATTTTTATACAATACTCAGACGTGTGATCAGCTTTAGAGTTTACACATAAGCATTTAAAAATATAAACAGCAGTCTTAAGTCAAAAGTGAGTCTCCGTTGTTTCCAGTAATTTAACTGTTCACTACAGCAGTGTTGTTCAAGAGAAAAAATAGATCGTGTGCTTTGGATTATTAAGGTAATTTAGAGAGTTCTGTTAATTTTCTATAATCTAGCTAAGACAGTGCTGAAAAATGCTGACTTTTAACAGTTGTGCAAGGTTTTCTTCAGCAATGTGGTCATTAACTGACCCTGGCAGTGTCCCTCTATTGTTATCCTCCCTATTACATGGACAAATGATAAGGTAAACCAGATTCTTTCCTCTCCGTGGGTGCTAACTCCAGGGTATTCTGAGAAGAGATGTGTTCCCTCCAAGAGTGGTTAACATAACTTCTCCAGTACCAAAAAATAATGACACGAGCAAAGCGGGGGTTAGAAGCCAGCACATGTCCTAGCTCTGTGAGACTTGATTGTCAGCAGACTTGCTTAAAGGCAAAAAGGGAAGCAAGCTTTATATTTATGGCACCCAGATCTTGCACTGGCTTTACTTTAAACCATTGCGAGCAAAGTTTGCCCATCCATTACGATCAGGATCTTCCAAACTCATTAAAAGTAACCCATGCTTCTCCTACTAGTTCTTTCACCTTTTCTTCTTTTTTCTAGTCCTGCTTGACATATGCAGGAATTTTGGAAGTTTCTTCACCTTTTCTTCTTTTTCTAGTCCTGCTTGACATATGCAGGGATTTCAGAGGTTTGTTAATTTAATTATGTGCAGTCATTTGGACTCATCCTCACTTGTACTTGAAAGAGGCCAAAAGAAATGCCAATGTCATTTTTCACACAGTGCTGACTCCTTTGTGAGCAATCTTTCTAGCAGTATTTCTGTATCTGTTACCCATCTAGCAATGTTTGGCAGTGCTGTTGTAACAGATTATTCGTATCTGTCGTGGCCCCGAACAAGTAAGACCCTAGCTTGTGGGAATACAGTTGATGTGATGAGATGCCTGATCCTACTTGAAGACACTTTTCATGAAGAGGTTTTAGAAGCAGAGGAGCTTAAGGCATTTCAGAGAAGGTGAGATACATGTTCCTGTAAAAGAAGTCTTTTTAGGTGTTCTTTCCACCCACAAAACCTTTGGTGACGAGAGCACAGAAAGAGGGCACGGGGCTAGGTTTTTCAGTCTTGAATGCAAGAACTGAGAACTCACACTTCCTTGGAGATGGAGAAATGAAGCCATGAAAGATAAGAAGCTGCTGATTTCTTTTGGATTGGTTACTCTCTCTGCAAATAGAAGGGGATTCAGTAGCCCAAAGGAAAAGAGACCAGGTGATATGGCAGAAGATATGTGGGCCTGGATGAAGGTTTTCTTGAGGGAATTAGAGTGAATTGGAAAGGTTTCTTAGATTCACAAAGACAAGAGTAAAATAACATTAAAGCAAACCTGAAGCTTCTGAGTTTGGGAAGCAGGAGACTGTATTTTCTATAGTGTCTTTTTGGTGATAGATCATAGCTGAATGCCTCAGTTCCTGAATATGACTTGCCCAGAGGGGCATTCCACATCCAGGATGTGGACATGGCCAAGCATAGCACTGCCATCTAATGGACCTTGGCTGCCTCTTCCTGGTTAGATGTTTGCTGCAGTGCATAGCAGAGGTTGAACTCCCTGAAAATTCTGCAAAGTCCTTACCTGTTAAAACAATAGGGTTTTACCTCTTAGTAAACTCCCTTATCGTCTCATATAAAGCATCTAGCTAGCGCTGGTTGCATGGTAGCAGAAAAGGAAAGAAATCCTGCTAATCTTTTGAGCAGACATGTGATGAGTCAAGAGAAACAAGACACTTTTTCAGACCTTTTTATGTAACTGTCAGAAAGAAAAGGGAATTCCAAGTTGATGTCCTAGTCAGAAACGAGTTTGGGGGATATATGGGGGGGGCGTGGGCTGATGTAACTTGGATCTGCTTAGTTGACTGTCTTAGAATCATGTCAGGATTTAATGGAGTCTAGGTTGGGATGGGTAGTCTAATTTACCCACTCACTTCTCTGTAGTCTTATTTACCTACCCACTTCTCTGAAGTCTCAGATGATATGAGTAAGGTAGGAAGTGCCATTTGCTAACTTACACCCGTTCTTTGTTTTTCCTTCAGACTCTCTGTTTCCTAACATGCTGCTAGTTCATGACTTGCCTATTTAAAAAAGTAGGAGAGTTTAATGCAAACTGTGTTTTAAATGATTAGTGGAAATTACATAAAACCCTGTGTAAGCACTCTTGATTCGTTTTACTCAAGTCAAGCAGGAACAGATCCCCAGAAGCTTGAATGATCTCAGCTTTAGAGCTGGCATTAATTTAAGAATATTGATTTAAAAACACATCCTAGGCACAAACAGTGCAAGTTAGGCCAGGCCTGAGCTGTACTCATTTAAACTTACTGCCCATTGCTTAGTAGGAATACGAATGCAAGAGAGCCCGCATTGGCCTAACACATGCGCGCGCGCGCACACACACACACACACACACACACACACACAGAGGAGATGTGGGAAGAAAGTCTAAATAGCTCCACTTAATCTCCCTTAGGCCTCCCTCTTGCTGCCCCAGTGCCTGTACAAACAGAAAGCACTTTTAAATATTAATGCCTCCTTTCTTTTGTCACATAAATTATTGTATTGCCAAATCTATCTCTAACCCCACAGAGTTAAAATGACTCAGACCCCTTCTGGTTGCAGCCAGCCTGCTGATGCTTAGCAGGAAGCCTGCCAGGTACCACAGACTGGGTCGAGGCGATTGCTCTTATTATGAAGCTCATTAGCCTGGGAGCTAGCGGGAACCAGCTCCCAGCGCCTACCATGTGGGAGTTCCCCATTAAGGGAGTGCTTCTCCTTCCTCTATGGGGCGATGACATCACTCCTTTTCCAGCTCTGTCTGGGTTCATACAACGGGCAAGAGCTTCAGTTTCAGCTATAAGGGAGAAAATTGATTGTCACTTCTTGTTTCCCAGTAAAGTACCAGGGCTGTGCAGCAAATGTGAAATTGGAGGGACATGAGAATGCCTTCAGTTCTGTTCTTCCTACTATAAGTTTGTTCCACTTAACTTTACGCAGTGATGAAAAGAAAGTAGACAACTGAAAAGTCCTGCAAAGATGTAAACTCTTGTGAACCCCTGATGCAGACGTCCCTGGATTCCTGTTTCATACTAGAAAATGCATACAGGCGGAGAGAAGTTACGTTGGAAGGGACCTCTGGACCACCTGGTTGAACCCCCTTGCTCACAATAGAGCTAATTTCACAGTTAGATTCGACTTTCACCTTAACTCAGGTTCCTTGGGGCCTTTGTCCAGCCAAGTAGTTTTGAATATCTGCAAGGATGGAAAATCACAGCCTCTTTAGGCTACCTATTTCAATGTTGGCTCATCTTCCTTGTGATTTTTTTTTCCTAATATCAAATTGGAATTTTCCTACGTGCAGCTTGTATTCATTGCCCCTCATCCTTTTGCTGTACACGTCTGAGAAGAATCTGGCTCCATCTTCTCTGCAACCACCAGAATCAAGTCTTAAGTCAAAAGTGAATCTCTATTCGTTCCAGTAGTTGTAGACAGCAATTAGATGCCCTCTTAGCCTTCTCTAGCCTAATCAAACCCAGGTCCCTCAACCCACCACATACACCATATATCCCACCACCCTAATTATGTTGATGGCCCTCATCTGAACTCACTCCAGTTTGTCAATGTATCCCTTGTGCTCAGAGCACCAAACTGGATATGGTACTCCAGATACGACCTCAAAAGTGCTGAAATAGAGAGAAATAATCACTTCCATTGACCTGCTGCCTACACTCCTACTGATGCAGCCTGTAGTGTTGTTTGCCGCCTTTGCTGCGAGGATGTACTGCTGGCTCGTCTTCAGCTTGTTGTCCCTCAGGACCTGTGGGTCCTCTTCTGCAAAGCTGCTTTCCATCAATCATTCCCTGGTCTGTGCTGTTGCATGGGGTTATTCCTTCCCAGGTACAGAACTTTGCATTTGCCTTTGCTGACCTTCATGAGATGTCTGTGAGCCCGTTTCTCCAGCCTCCTGAGATTCTTTTGAGTGACAGCCATATCCACCAGTGTATCAACCGTTATGCCCAATTTCTTACCATCCCTGACCTTGCTTGGGTACACTCTGTTTTATCGTCCAAGTTGTTAATAGACAAATAGAATCAGCCTCAGTACTGACCTCCGAGGAACACTCTGGTAACCAGCTGCCTTTTGCACTTTATAGCACTCACCACAACCCATTGAGCGCAGCAGTTCAGCCAGTTTTTCATCCACCTTACAGTCCACTTATTCAGTTTGTGTCTATCTATCTCTTCAATTTGGCAGCAAGTTTGCTTTGGAAGTTCACTTCAGTGATCTTGCACAGGTCAAAGTAAGCAATACCTGCCACCTTCCCCTTGTCCACGTAGCCAGTTATCTCATTCGAGAAGGCAGTCACCTAGTTTAGGCGTGATTTACCTTGGGAAATCCATGCTGTTCTCATTCATTGTCTTGTCCTTCATGTGCTGAGACATACCATCCAGGAGGATTTGCTTCGTAATCTTCCCAGGGACTGAGATTAGGCTGACTGATCTGTAGATCTCTGGAACCTCCTTCTGGCCCTTCTTGAAGTTGGACGTGACATTTTTCTTTTTCTAGTCAGCAGG